GTCTAATCTGTAAGATCAAAACTGAAAGTGTAATTTAAGTTATTTTCTGTGTTATCAGGAGAAGATGCCACAAAATGCGTATCCGCGTTAGTCGACCCCAGAGGTTTAACAACTGCCAAGCTGGATGCTGTAGGACATAGGTGGCTGGCGGCCCTCTCGGCGTATGATTTCAGTATCAAGTACAGGCCTTGAAGACAAAATGTCAATGCTGATGCCTTGTCTCGTCGTCCTCATGGGAAAGTGAAGGACCAGGAATGGACGAATATCCCATCCTCTGGTGTGAGATCTCTGTGTAAGCTGCCAGGACAAGTCCAGTTGCCTTGCAAGTGCCAGCAGGGTTGTCACGTTGCTAGGTGGATCTCCTAAGTCAGTCCCCAAAGCATACTGTAACTTAACTACGCTGGATGCCATCAAAATTCCAAAATTGAGTTACATGTATCTGTCCTGTGCTCAGCGAAAAGGTCAGTGTCTTGGAGAGATATGGAGAGGTTTGAAAGAGGGAGATCTATCCACAGGCAAGAAAGAAGCTCTTCAGGACCTTCCATTGATCATGACAGAATGGGACAGGTTAGTGCTGGTTAATGTAGTGATGTTTTGGTGCACTCAAGCCCCAGACAGATCTTGTGGTGAAATATTGCCAGACATGTGCCAGATGTGTCCAAAGGAAGACTCTACCTAAGAGAGCTGCACCTTTGTCACATTTGTCCAGTAGTGGACCAATGGACCTTGTGTGTATGGATTTTCTATCCATAGAGCCAGACTCCAAGAACATCTTTAATGTTCTTGTCATCACCGACCACTACACATGGTAGGCACATGCGTTTCTGACTAAGGACCAGAAGGCGTCCACAGTTGCAAAAGTCCTGTGGGAGAAATACTTAGTTTACTATGGATTGCCTAGATGGGTGCACTCGGACCAGGGACGGGATCTTGACAGCAGGCTCATCCAAGAGTTATTTGACCTGTTAGGAGAAATCCCAGACAACGCCGTACCAACCCCAGGGTGATCTGCAGCCCAAACAGTTCAACTGGACACTCTTGAACATGTTGAGGACCCTGGATCCAAGGCAGAAACAACAGTGGAGCTGTCACATTGGACATCTTGTACACGTGTACAACTGCAGTCTGAATGAAGCCACAGGGTATTTGCCTTACTTTCTTATGTTTGAAAGGGAAGCCAGACTGCCCATCGACCTGAGTTTTGGTGTGTCAAGAAATGGTACTTCCGTAAAGTCTTATCAGTGTTTTGTAAAGACCATGTGTTAGAACTAAAGTTTGCTCATGAGCTGGTTCCTGGAGATAGAGTCCTGATTAGAAATCTTGGACTGCAAGGAAAGCATGAGTTGGCGGACAGTTGGAGTGCTGAGCCTTGCATTGTCCAGAGCTAGATGCCTAACTTGCCTGTGTTCTGACTGAAGCCAGAGAGTGGAACTGAACTGGTCAAGATTCTGCATAGGAATCACATTCTTCCTATTGGACAAGAGTTGAGACAACAAGTTCCTCACAGTGTTCCGAAACCTAGAAAAAGGGTTTTGAGATGAAGGAAGAATGTTGAAAAGAGTTGAAAAAGAGTTGAAAATTTTTCTGACGGTGCGACTAAGTTGTAGAAACCAGACCAATAAATGTGGTTTTAAACAACTCTTTATGGTCAGAACATGACAAACACTTCACATTTTTGAATCCTTTAAACTTTTAAAGTCATTTTCCCTTAACAATATAAATATCTTAATAGAGAAATGAACTTCTTAGTTTCTGCATGTTCTAATGAGTGATATTATTTTAGATCATGAAACAGGTTTGTGCTGCCTGACATGTATCTTCAGCAGAGTGCCTGCTGCAATATTAATATAATTTTTTTGTCACTTGTTTGAAAGTAGTTTGAGTTGAGTTGACATTAGTAGCTTGAGTTAGTAGCAGATGTAAATTTATGTTAATTATCAAAAACAGTAAAATCTGTAAAAATTGTAAAAACCTCATTTTTATATGGTGAAATGTAATTAACCACACAAATTGCACCTCAATACCATGGTAAAAATGTAACTATGGTTTCTAGGTATTTGTATGAAAAACAGTAGTCGAAAAACATTTAGTATAAATGCACAAAAGCTTAGCTTAAATCACAAAAACATACTGTAATTATATTCTAATACTCTACATTAATAATATAATAAAATTCGATATGAATATCCCTCATTTGTGCCACAATACCATGGTGCAGTTAGTGTTACTACAGTAAAACAATGGTAAATGATGGCGATTTGTAGATTAAAAATGTAGCAAATTAGCTCAAAAGGGAAATGCATATAAATAATTACAATTAATTATGATTAATTACAATTATTTATAATGAGATGCCAGTAGTAACTGTAACAGAATGAAATTGCCATCAACTAATCTGTTCGTCCAGCGAACATTTAGTATAATTTCATATCAGCTCTAAGAAAGGAGATTTTCGTGGCCACAGAAAACAACCTTCTTATAGTAGCCTAATAATGCATTAGAGCATGTAGCATGGATCAAAATCGTAAAGGGACATTATTCACAAGCAGGATCAAAAACTCATGTAATTTGTGCACAAACGTTTTATTAACTAAACGCTAACACACATAACTAATGTAAACAAACAAACACACACACAATCACTCATACATGGGGAAAGGGCAAATGAGACTTGATGGATGAAACCATCAGGAAAACCAGAGAATGAAGCTATGAAAAGATTCAGTTAACCACCTGAGTAAAACCATCAGCGCCATTTATAATGGGGTCTATAGCTTATAATAAACCTCTGTTTCGTTTAGTTAAATGTACGATACTTGCATTGCCTTGGTCGTTGATGAGTGTCCGGATGCAGTCTCGGATGAAAGTCTTGATGGTTTCAAGGTTTTGGACTTGCGATCATGTTCTTCCGGGTTTGAAGAGTGATGAATTCCAAAGATGTTCTGAATCGATGGTGATTGGGAGTTTCTTCCCAGTGGAAAGTGAAAAAGAGCTAAGAGAGACATCAGCTGAGATCCTAGGATCTTTGGTGAATGGAAAGTCACAGAGGCCTGGCACGAACTTAGGGTGTCCTTAGAAGACTAGCTCAGCATCCCCATCTTCTCAGAATCTAACAGAACCGCAGACTGCACCATATGTTGGGGCCCACCGGGCACGCCCGCACCGGCTCAGGCTCTCCACACGGGTAGCAATCAGAAGATTTAGCAGAAGAGCCAGGGTGGAACTGTGCATGAGCCCTTTAAAGTCTGAGAAGAGTCCCGCCTCTCAGGATAGGCTTGTCTATTGAGAAAGGCTGAATTTCCAAGCGGGAAGTTGGAAATACTGGGGTGGTTTTATGACCCTTTGTCTGAGAGCATGGTAATTTGCATATGGAACTGAATTTGATGTTGATTTGCAAACAATTAAAGATTCTTAGAACACTAATATGTTGCATGGGTATCCACATATTATATACACTCTCAATTATATCATCCGAAGACAAGTTCATATAGGCCTAGTTCATATGACTAGTGATCTGTCATAAGCATGCATTAAAACAGTATACAACATACAATACCATATACAATGAGGTAGTAATCATACACAAAGACCTGGGGATATGCATGATAGGAAAGTCATAGAAAAATTGGTCTATGAATTAATGAAAGAAGTCATTTCCTATAGCAGTGTGTGTCTGTTTTAGAGAGAATTGAGTAGGGAGGAAGATTCCCTCTACATAATTTTAGGTCGTAAAATGTATCTGGTCTGGCTGAGGTGTCCTGGTTGCCATGGTAACCAGGGGCCTGGGGTAATTCGCAGACATCCTGGCACCCAGTATGTTTATTGGGTGAGGGGTCTGTGATTATTTGTTAATCTAGTGAATAATTGATTTGTTAAATCTAATGAACAATTGTGTGTCTGATTGGTCCAAATGCTACATATTTCCGACCCTTTCGGACAACAACGAGCGACGTCAAAGGTGCAGAACAATCAGACACGCATCTGCCACTCATGGCTGGGAGACAGTGGTGGCTCTCGGGCTGTTGGTTGCCTCCAGGAGTGGTTGTGGTGCCATGGTGGATGCTGTCAAGGGGTGTGCTCTGAAGATGTAAGCTGTAGCAAGGTGCGGGTCCTCGAGCTTATGCAGCAGGTGTCGAGACTGTGTCACCTGTCATCCTGAAGTGAGTTGGTCTGGGTAAGATGTTTGTTTGTAGCTGTTGTTAGCCAGTAGGCTATCCGTGGTACCTGCGGTTTGGGACAGCTTGGTTGGACTCTCACTGGTGAGAGTGCAGGTGGTTCTGCAGGGAATTGTTATGGAGATTTTGTAGTGTGAAGAAAGTTTCAGACTGCCCTAGTGATGGTGCCAGGAGGGTAGCAGGTGGTTGTTAGCACTCTGAGTAGCTCGAACATCACTGGAAATCTGATGTTTGTGGTGTTTCTTTGCTCTTGTGGCGGCACCGACTTGAGCTTGCCTGAGTTGTGTTGGTAGAGGTTTTGCGGTCGCACTTTATATTAAGTGGCCTTAACTACTATGTACTTACATTTAAATTAATAATTTGGTACAATGCACTTATTGTGTGCATGCATGTTTTTACATTGTACTTGTATTTTAAAAATACCTGCATGTATTTACATCTTTAATTAATTTCTGTAATTACATTTATAATTACACCGTTGACTCATCCCTTACACCTTAACCCACTCTTAAACCTACCCATACCACCAAACCTGTCCCTAACCTTACACGTATCCCACCTCAATAGCGGCAAAAGTGTTTTGCAATACAATATGAATACAGTAAGTACATTGTACTTATTTTTTGATGTAAGTACATAGTAGTTAAGGTCACTTAATATAAAGTGGGACCGGTTTCGCTGTTGGGCATGTGGGCCCGTTGCTCCATCCAATGTTGTCTGGCTGCTTCTGGGGTGTCGACTGGTTTTAAGGGATGCTTCTCCCTTGGAGGGGTCTAATGCTGTGTTGCGTCAGGCAAGGAGTCAGAAGTTTGTCCTTCCCAGTACTCCTCAGTTGAGTTTTTTTCAAGGAGCTCTTTTGCTAGAGTCAGCAGCTCCTGTAACTCAGAAGTAGGCGTGTCAAGCTGTCCTTGTGTAGTCTCCGTTGGGCACCTGTGTGGAGAAGGATGTTGGGGGGGACTGTCATTGGACATACCGTGATGTTTGCAGGGTGAGGACGGCCTTTTCCATGGCTTCTGCCAGTGGTTGGTCTGGAACCTGGGTCAGTTGCCATGGTGATGGCTCTGTCTTCCGCTGGCTAGTGGCTGTCTGTAGAAGTGCCTTGCATTGTGGCAATGCTGGGTGCCTTCTGGTGCCTGCTTTGGATTCTGGGTTGTACATTTCAGAATCAGTGGGGTCTTACAAATAATGCCTAAATGGTGACTTACAATAGGATGGAGGTTTCGGAGGAAAAGGCTCTTGAAGCTGGTGTCCTCCTCCATCCCAGGTTCATTGCAAGCCCTGAAGTAAGCTCGTCGAAGTCTGTGGTAGTAAGCATGGGGAGTTTCAAATTGGTGTCTAGGGCAGAGATTAGACCGTGTTCAGACTCTGGGTCTGAGAATTCTCTTATGATGGCTTGTTTAGGCCGCTAGTAGTCTGATTGGATATGTCCTGGCTATCGAGCCAGGAATCGTTGCACCTCTGGGCTAGAGGTGATCCAGAGCAGATAGAGTCTATCTTGGTGGTTCACACTGGTCCAAGACTGCATGTGAATGTCAATGTCTCATATGTAGGCGTGGACGTCATGGTCTCCTGCATGCTCTGGTGTGAATGCATGGATGTTTCTGGCCATTCGGTTGAGGTCTTTGAGTGTCACTCCATGAGTCATTTCAGAGTTTGTCTGAATTGACCCTTTTCCTTCTGCAGCTGCAGAAGTTTTCAGGGAACTGACTTGTGAAGTGTCAAGCAGAAAGCTTTGGATCCCCCCTTTGTAACTGTGTACAGGGGTGAGGGGGTTTGCACTGCTGGCAGTGTGACGTGCAGCAGGGTGACTTTTACTTGAGTCCACGCGCAGTCTGTAGGACTGTTTCAGTTCTTTCTGAACCGTGTCAAGCTCCTGTTTAATGTTGCAGAATTGCTGATTCAGGGTTTGGACCTCAGTTCTGGCTGCATGCCGATGGCCTTCTAAGACCTTAGCTCTAGTGTATCTATCATTAAGTTCCACATACACTGTTTTTAACAGTGACTTTGCGTGAAACAGTTCTCTTTCCAAGTACTGTCTGATGGCTTTTTCAAGCTGCGCGTGGTGTCTAGCAGATGTTAGAGCCTCCTGAAGACTGGTGATTTCCTCCTGTTGCACCATTCTGTCAGGTTCCTTTCATCTCTTCTGTACTGTCTCTCATTGAGTGGTTGTTAGTTCCCTGTGGTACTCTGTGACTTGCAGTTTCAGATAATTTACCTCCTGTCTGAGGCCCTTGAGGGTGTGGGCCAAGGAGAAGATGATGCTGGTCAGCTCCTGGTTGTCCAGGCTTGGTGTCAGGTGTCCACTTGTGTCGCAGTCTCGCTGTTCCTTTCTCTGCCGTTGCAGGTCGTTGGCTGCTTTGAGCTGAAGGATGTCCATCACAGTGCTCTGCTGGGTTTCCAGCTGGTCCTGGTGAGCTGGCAGGGCTGGATGTCTGTGGAATGCCTGCGACATACTGGCACACTTGTGGGAACATCAGAGAGCGAGAGACAGAAGGCAAATGCAAGTACGTACAGAGGTGTTAAGCTATCTGTATGGGGAACGGCTGTGTAGGCCGTGTAAGGTGTGAATAGCTGGTGAGGGGCAGCTAGTGAGGTAGGGTGCTAAGAACACAAGGAGAGGGTTTGAGTAACTTCGTTGATGGGGCTGTAAGCTGGGGTCAGCTAATGACCGGGCTATACATGTGGTCAAACTATTACTAAAAACACTGATGGTTCACAGGTTTGGTCACTATGAAAGTATCAGATAAAACAAAACTGAAAACAAAAAATCAGAAAGAGACGGAGGTAGAAGGAAGGGCTTTTCCTTATTTAGTTTAAGCTAGGAGATATGACTAAGCAGTTGTCACTTGTTCAAAGGAATGCTGCAGCAGGGTCATACAACCTAGGGGGTTTGTTAGTTAAGCTAGCAGGGACACATCAAACACCTCAAGGTACATAAACAGAGACACCAAGAAGTGTTTCTAGTCTTCTCAGGGGTCTGTAGCATAATGAATGGTAACTGTATCTTATGTAATAGGCCTGGTGCTGAGAAGTAAGGAGGGGTAGAGCAGAGACAGAAATTAGGCTACTAATAACCTGTACGGCTCATTAACACTAGAACCGCAAGGGGTCGCTGTATACCTAAAACCGCCAGTGGGTCAATTTTACCCACGCACATGACAGCTGTTTCTGAATGGCTAAAGAACATTATTTCACTGTATTATGCTACTGTCTTCACAAAGAAGTGTCTAGAGTCATGAAATGATTATGTCTAGTCATCAACTATATTTTTGTCATATATAGACAATAATGAGCAATAATAATTCACCACATTGCATAGGATGATGCGATGACAAATTCAAGCGCACAGCTTCACCTAATTAATTATTAATTATTATATTAACAGTTAATTATATAAATGAACAGATGAATGTATTCTGGTACCATTTATATGGGCTGCTAATCTGATATTTCTTCATCAGAAAAGGCATACGCTCTACTAACAACAGAAATTAGGATTTCTTCGCTAAAATCAGGTTAGAGGGATCCGTTTATCTGTGTTTTTGTTCTGTCACTGTCATTCTGTTACACTGTGGAGCTTCTGTCATGAAAACAAATTCCTCGTATGTGTAAACATACCTGGCAATAAAGACTCATTCTGATTCTGATTTACAGCAGTCCCACCACTTACCCCACCTAATGTTGCAGCTCAGTAACAACCCCCCGTGCCTAATACCATCAAGTCTCAGATTCTCGCAGAAATTCAGAGCGCTGGGTCCGGAGGTGGACCCATTGCCAAACCCAGTACCTCACTGTTCGCAACTCGCATTCCCATAATGCATCCCTTAAAACCTCCTCAATGCGTCACTCGGTTCGATCCTCCAATCAGTTTCACCCAGAACCATCCAATCTTATCTAACTGCTTGGAGATGATTTAAAGCTTTCCACCCCTCGTACAACCTCCCGATTTCTCCCTCCTCTCAATCACATCTTTCGTTTCCTACCTTAACACCGGTAAGAACCTCCAAGCCCGGTCAATCAAAGGTTATCTAAGCGGCATCCAATATATATATTTTTTTTTTCACAAATTAATGTGCGGTGCCCCCTCTCCTGAAATAAACAATTCTCAAACATCTCTTTTGATCAAAGGAATTCAGTGCTCTCATCCTCCAAGCCCGGACGCTAGACAGCCGATAACTTTCGACATCCTTTCTAAATGTATCCACATTCTCCGCACAGGGTACCACTCACTCCATACCGCTCGTAGACTCGACGCTATGTTCATACTGGCTTTTCGTGGTTTCCTGAGATGCTTGGAATTCACAATAACTTCTATTCAACTCCAATCCAACCTTTCCGTGCTTGACAGCGAAACTCCTATTTCATCAAAGTAAATCAGATCAGGAAAAAGAGGTCACCATGTCAGAATTTTTTAACCTCCCGTCACTAATCCAACAGTATCAGGCCCTTTTTCTTGCCTACAATTCAGAAGCTCTCAGTCTACATCCCCTCTTGACCCTCTTTTGTCGATGACTGCCCATAACCACACCGTCACACGTTTTTGGTTTCAAAAACAGCTATACAAACGATGTTCAATAAACATCGTCCAACCAGTCATACCCGTAGAAAGCTTTTCCAGCCACTTCTTCCGAATCGGGGCAGTAACTACTGCAGCTCAAAAAGGTCTCTCATTGCAGCAGATTCAACCATTCGGTCGATGGTCATCAGACGCCTTCAAGAGCTATATCAGGACCAATAACGAAACTCCTATTTCATCAAAGTAAATCAGATCAGGAAAAAGAGGTCACCATGTCAGAATTTTTTAACCTCCCGTCACTAATCCAACAGTATCAGGCCCTTTTTCTTGCCTACAATTCAGAAGCTCTCAGTCTACATCCCCTCTTGACCCTCTTTTGTCGATGACTGACCATAACCACACCGTCACACGTTTTTGGTTTCAAAAACAGCTATACAAACGATGTTCAATAAACATCGTCCAACCAGTCATACCCGTAGAAAGCTTTTCCAGCCACTTCTTCCGAATCGGGGCAGTAACTACTGCAGCTCAAAAAGGTCTCTCATTGCAGCAGATTCAACCATTCGGTCGATGGTCATCAGACGCCTTCAAGAGCTATATCAGGACCAATAATTTTCACACAAAGAAAGCCCATCTAATTTTGATCAGTTAAAAGAAATTTTGAGGCTGCTGCTGCAATGCCCTGCTTAATTTGATACTGTCACAGCAATGCCCGCTCCATTTGATACTGCCGCTGCAGTGGCCTGCTTAATTTGATACTGCCGCCGCAGTGCCCCCTCCATTCGATACTGCCGCCGCAGTGCCCTGCTTAATTTGACACCGCCACCGCAGTATTGTGCATATGTGATGGAGTAAGATATTGGATTGTAACTGCAGGGGTTGCTATGGTGATACATATTTCATTGTTGTGATGATTTCTTTTAAGTTTCTCCATCATTATAAGGACATAATGATTCTTAGTAAGGGGAGAATGGAGAGTCCTACTAAAATAAGGTCTACTAAATTAAGTGTTTTTTTTGGGGGGGAGGGGTGTTTTGTTTTGTTATTGTTTGATCTCAGATTCATATTGGCTAGTCTATGGTAAGAGAAAAAAAAAGTTTAAAATTGATGTGGACTTTAAAACCTAAAATTGTATTTTGTTTATATAGAAAGTGTTACTGATTAACCAATGAAGTGTCTACAGGATGACCCCTGGCGTTGAAGGGGCGGGGATATGAAGAGAGAAGCGGGTGATGCAATTGGAGAAGAAAGACATTACCCGTGATGAAGAATTTAAAGAATTTAAATACCCATGTTTTATTTTTGCGAATAAAGACCGATAACCTTGTTTATTTCTGCATCTAAGGAGAAAGTTCAGTGAGAGTGAGTGAGCGACGGAACGCATGAAGACAGGCCAATTGACTGCGAGAGACCAAAGCTGCTTTGAGGCTATGCTGCTGATCGGGCCTGTATGCATCATGAACTGAGGATTCGCTAGGACATGTCATTCAATTAATCCTTGTGAGCATTGTTTCACGAATGGACGTCAGTGACG